CTCCACAATGCAACCCTGAGCTACATATATTCTCTTCTAATGTCAAAAAAGCAAGGATATTGAGGATAACACTTAATATGCTGCCCAGAATCACTTTGTGTGAGATGGGTGGCTATATAAATACGATAAGACTATATAAATACGATAAGGCTATATAAATACGATAAGACAGACAGACAGACAGATAGATAGATGGCAGAGAAAACAGTTAAGGTTGAAACCTTAAAGTAATAAAGCATACAGGTGATTTGAGGGAAATTTAAAAATTGCTTTGGGGGGAGCTGGAGGACTAAACCAGGAACCTCCAACCGGGTGAACAGCACCTTTTTAAAAATGATGACATAATTTGAGATGACACTGAAGTGAGGGAATGTTATAAGGACTGTTTTTGAGATTTACATGGGAATGCTACTGATACATTGAACAGTAGAATTCAAATAAATCTAGAAATATTAATGACCAAGAAAAAACACTGATTAAAAGGAAATCCTTTTGGCTGCTGAATGCAATGAGAACAGGAGATGATGGAAGTAAAATATGCATGAGAATAAGTCAAACTAGACAGGAGGAAAATCAACTTGTTCAAGCTATTGGAGAAGGCTCCTGCGCATTCCTTGAAAATATTTCTAGGGCTCCTAAATGTGTATTTGAAATGGCAGGTCTGAAAAAGAAATAATTAGGAATTATGGGGAGGGTTAGAGGCTGATAATTGTCAAGAGTGCAACAGTTGTGTAAACCTTATTTTGATAACGAAAGGGGATTTCTACCAAATGCAGCCAGCAGAAGGACTAGTAATTTTTGTTCATCTATACACTACTAATTATTATGTATTTATTTGCAATATTACAGCTATGGATAATCTACATGAACAGGTTTCCAAGACAGACCATCTGAGAACCATCATGCTAGCTGTTGCTATTTCATGATCCCATCCTTTAAAAAGTACAAGAATATATAGAATTATAGAATCACAGAGCTGGAAGGGAACATTTATGCCATGGAATTTAATCCTCTCCTCAAATCAACTTGTCAACTATAGTTTTCTTGTAACAATATGGAAATGGTTTGCCACTGCCTTCTTCTGCAACATCCTTGACCAATGTCTAGCCAGCC